ATAATGTATCAGTTTAAATTCCTAGACAAGTCATCAATTACCCCCTCAAGGGAATTGGTTAATGCAACCAACCCAACCCCAGAGAGATGAACTCTATCCCTTGCATACATATCATGCTTGCCATAGAATTTGTCCCAGTTATCAATGACTGGGATTGCACGTTCCTTACAGTACCTGTCTAGTCAGCAATTTATACCAGTTGCCCTATACATCCATTCATTACCCACTCCCCTTCTAGGCAAGATGTTACATATGATTGGGATCCCTCCCTTAGACCTGACAACTTCTATGGCTGACCTGTACTTATCCAGCAGCTCCTGTCTCCTGCCTTTCCTGATGTCATTTACACCAGCACTAAGATAGGCTTGTTCCCATTACCTGACATATTATTATCCAACCTGACTGTCACCAACACCAGCTTCTGGAAGGCACACCCTCTGTCTGACTTTCCTATCTGTGTTACATATATCTTATCTGAGAATCTCATACAATTAGAATATTCTTACCTTGATTAGCAGGGGAGTCAGTGGTACCTTTAACCTCACTAACAACTGAAGTACTCTTGTCCTGGAGAACAGAGAATAGATTTCCTACCGTCACATCTTCTTTATTACCCTTCCTTATCTTCCTTCTTCCTGAACTGTGAATCACTTGCCACTTGAAGCGGCTGCAACTCTTTAGCTAACTGCTGGTATCCTTTTCCTCACCATCTCTCACTCGCTCCCAAACCCATCTATGCGAAGCTTCAGCTTCCTATTTTCCTCCTGAAGAAGTAGAACCTCCTTCTTCAACACTTTAACCTGAGATTCCAAAACACTACAGCAGGCCATGGTGCTCAGTAACACCCCAGCTAATTCCCAGACAGCTTAGGACAGTGACCACACGTGACCTCTGACCTCAACATGAAGTATACATCTTGTGGTAGAGACTGGTTTAACATTACTGCCTCTTGGTATTTTGTTCACGGTATGGATGAAGTATTTAGAATAAATTAAAGCCACAACTTTACATTTACTCACACCACCCAGGAGCAACTGTGTGTGTTTCTTTCACAGCTGAGAGCAACACTTTGCCTGCCTCAGCTAGTATATTACCAGCAGCTGCTCATTCCACTGACATAACAGGTGTGTGAGGGTAGGGTGAATGTAAATGGTATACTGGGGTGGGTGTACTGGGTGGTAGTAATGGGGTGAAGTGTTCGTAGATGTGGTGTACAATGGCAAGTGTAATATTGAGGGGTGTACTGGATTCCGGGGAGCTGTTAAGTTGGGGTGTACAGTGGTGGGATGTACAAGGTTCGGAAGTTCAAGGGTGGGGGGTACAAGAGTTGGGGTACAGGGCTGCAGCTTCTGAGTTTCCTGAGTGTGTATTATTTTATTAGTTATTCCTAAAGAACGACCTTTAAATGGTTCCTAGAATATTTTTTTTTTTTACTTTCCTTCCTCAAACTTTTCTTTGATATTTTACTCATAACACAATAAGGCATCGTCCTATCAACTTCATACTGCCAATGGTGATGTACGGTATTTAGCGTGGAGGATTACAGAGCCACGGCTTGCTTCTGCAGTGTTTCAAAATCTGAGGTTAAAGTGTTGAAGGAGGCGGTCCAACTTCTCAAGGAGGAAATTAGGAGTCTGAAGGTTCACCTGGATGGGATGTGAGTGAGGGGAATGAGTGGGTGAGGGAAATGAGGCTACTAGCAGTGAGGAGCAGTCTGGCACTCGCTGCGAGGTGATTGAAGGTGGTGAGGACGAAAAGGAGCAGTCCAGCACCTGCTAAAAGTGGTGAGTGGTTCCCAGTCATGGGAGGATCATCAAAATAAGAAAAGTTGAGAAGGAAGATTTGAAGGTAGGAAATCGCTTCTCTGTTCATTGGATATATGGATCGTGCTTTCTGTAATAGGAATTAGAAGGTGAGACAGTGTGTGTGTTTCCCTGGAGCTGGTGTTGGTGACAGTCAACGGGTTGGATAATATCACATCAGGTAATGGGAACAAGCCCATTATCTGTCTCAGTTCTGGTGGAAATGATGTTGGGAAGGGTAGAAGAGAAGAGCTGCTAGATAAGTACTAGTCAGCTATAGATTTAATTAGGTCTGAGGGAGGGGTCCCAGTTATATGTAGCATCTTGCCTAGAAGGGGAGTGGGCAATGAATGGATGTCTAGGGAAATTGGTGTAAATTGCTGGCTAGACAGGTACTGCAAGGAACTTGCAATCCCATCCCTTTTATGGTAAACATGATATGTATACAAGGGATGGGATACATCTCTCTGGGGCAGGGGTAGTAGCATTTCCCATCCCGATCGAGAGGGCCATTGCTGACTTGTCTAGGATTTTAAACTGATAGAAAATAGAGGTATGGGTGTGTGTGTGGGAAACAGGTTGCAGCACTTGGGTTGAAAGCAGGAAATGTTTAAAAGGCATTATTTGTAAAGTTACAAATGAAGACAATGGAACTGGTCAAGAGAAAATTCCATTGTGTAATTGCACACGTGTCAATTTTGTATGTGAAATAGTGTGAAATTTTGATTCCCATTTAAATCACTTTAAAAATTTGTCTACCTCTTCTGAACGGCTTCGGTATGTAATGGCTGATGGATCTTGCGGCCAGGATAGTACCAGCAAGTTCAGTATGTGTACTGCAAAGTCTCTGTACTAAATTAGTTTATAAAGCTTGAAGTTGTTAGAATCTTTACAATAACTGCACAATGATTCTTCTCAAAAGTTTAAAATTTTCAGTCCTGGTGTGTTTTTCAGAAAGTAAGGTTTGGCGTTGTCATTGGGCTGCATAAGAACCATTTTGCCAAAATTATTGAATAATGATTTTTATTTTCACTCGGTAAGTAAAAAATATCTCTTATCGACTTCAAAATATTTATGCTGTTTCATTCTATAACCACGAAGATGCTCTATAAATTTCGGTGCAAATCTGAAATTTTTGTGATACTTAACAAAAAAATTTGTAAACGTTGAATTCAGATCAATTATTTGAGAATGCTTTTTTGATGTGTTTGAAACTTTCGGTTTTGATGTGCTTTATTAAAACTAAAAATTATTTTTTCCCATGAGTTATATCAATTTTAAATTGCCAGTTTTATTAAATTGGTTTGCGGGTAATAATTAGGGAATGACTCTTTTGATCGACTTCAACTACTTAAACATTGTGTATTTCTAAAGTATGTTTTTATTGAATTTCGGTTTTGCACATGCCAATATGCCAAATTTATATATTTATCAAACTAGTCTTTTTTAAAAACGTTTTTTAGAATGTAGAGTTTTAAATAAAATTATATAAGGAAACTGAAAACTATTGAAAATCTCATTTTTAAGCATTTTTATTTATTATGAATTTAGTGAACACCTAAAAACTTAATGTCACATCAAGTACGTTGATAACTATGGTGTCCCTTCTACCACTAACCTCTTCCAAGATATTCGTATATCATCAGATTGGCTTCATTATTATTATAAGGTGAAGGTTGGTGGAACAAACAACAAATGTTCTTTGTTCAGTTTTATGTAAACCATTCCTGGTTTACCGGCTTCAATATTCCAACACTGGTGTATCCTACTGAGAAGGTTGGTGTTAATGGAGTTTATTGGTGCCAGTTTACTGTTTCCATCTCAAAATGATAAAGTAATATTTTGCATTACATAACTGGATGCTGTTTCTTGGAGGAGGGTTCCTTGATGCTGGTGAGGGGCTCTTGATCCAAGGAACTGAAATCTAAATAACTGACAAAGTTCGATTGTTGAAATTAGAAATTTGAAAGTGTAAAATTATGGAAATATGACTGAATTGCTCAGTTGGATAACGCTATATATAACAGAAATAAATTACCCACTGGTAGTTTAAAATCAGTATAGAATAAGCAATTCATTTTTAATATTGTTATATATTGCAGGTAAGATAATTTTGGTAAGAAAGTTGTAGATACGAACAAATTGGAAGTTTTAAAACAGATTAATTTGAAAAAAAAAATAACAGCTGTAAGAAATTCCTGTGTCTCAAGAGTCAATTGTTTATCTATTTTAATTTATTAAGTTCTCTCTCATTTTCATTTTCGTTAAACCTAGAACACCGACACTATATTTTTTAAGGTCCAGTTTGACTGACACAGGTTGTTGAGGGCACCAATAAGTCGCAGCAGGAGTGTACACACTACACACATCTTCATTTATAGGAAGTAGTAGTAGTTGGTCAGAGAGTAAAGTGGAACATCCTGAACTTTTTGAATGGTCGAGAATTAAAGCTCCCGTTTACTTCCTGGTACCGGGGCTTCTAAATGTGGCATTTGCACTTATATACAGTGGAACCTCCACTTGCGAGCGCGAGTTTTTACTTCCATATGTGAGCGAAATTTCTATAAGCGAGCGGGCCTCAAGGGAGGTTCCTTGACGCTGGTGAGGGGCTCTTGCTCTTGATCTAGGGAATTGGATCTCATTTGGTTGTTGGAGTATCTTATTGAAACTTGGGCAATGTATGATGGAAAGATGCTTCTTAACGTACACCAAAAATTAAAGAAATCGGGCCATAAATAATGGAGCTCACTTCTCAGTCATTAGTGGCACCTTAGTGGTATTTTCATATGATTTTTATGGTTGTATTCTCGTTTTTTTTTGTTCTCATTTGATAGAATGGAAGATATATTACAGAAATAGATATGATTTTGATTGGTTTCACGACGAAAAGTACCTTGAAATTGAACTCAAAGTAGCAAAAATGTTCGATTCTTTAGCGATGTTCAAGAGTAAATAAATGACGTCACTGTCCATCCCAATATGCAGTCATGAATGGGGTGACATTATTTATACAATTATTACAATAATGCAGTACCTGCATAACAGTACTCTTCTGTTTTTCGTGTGAATAAAAATTACAAATTTTTTATATTGTAATAATAATAATACATATAATAATAGTATAATAATATATAATAATATAATACGTATAATAATAGTACATGTATTATTAATAATAATTAGACGGGTTCAAAAGGCCGTCACTAGATGGCAGTGATTACCACAATGCGCGAGCGGTTGTGGCCGCCTCCACCTATCACATGACATATTTTATTCATTCTAGATTATATATCAGGTTTCTACGTTATTCATATTGTTTATTATGTCATATTAGATGATTTTTGATAGATAAATAAGCCATAGAGTTGATAGCGAAATTATTGAAGGAGTATTTTGTCTTGTCTCCAGACAAACTCTCATCTGCCGCCGACGCCGACGATACCACTACATAAATGACATATTTTATTCGTTCTAGAGTATATATTAGGTTTCTGTTTATATTGTTTGTCATAATAGATGAATTGTGATAAATAATTGACTCTGCAAGCGAGAAAATCCAGATGCGAGCAAGGTCACAGAACGGATTAAACTCGTAAGTAGAGGGTCCACTGTACTTGTAAAAAAAATGTGTGATACTGTGTGCCACTTAGTTGGAATGTGGGTCAGTGTTCGTGTGTTCGGTTCACACCTGAAGACACCCAGGATCAATTCCTTGGCGCAGCAACATATGGGCAAGTCTTACACCTGTTGCCCATGTTCACTTCTCAGTCAACAGATCATTGGTTGTTAGTCGACTTATGTGAGCCACATCCTGAGGGGTAGTATATTTTAGCTCCAGGCTTTGAAATAAGCTAAAATAGCAGCTCTTAGCCTGTTAACTGATGTGTATTCCCAATTAAGCAGTGCTACCATTCGCTTGAGCAATTTGATGATACTTTGAATGAACAACCCGTGAAAAGATGTTCGCTTGTGCTGCTGAAGGATTCTTGACCCAAGAAATTTGGCTATACTTATTCCCAAGGCAGTTTGACATACGGGATTTTCGCTTTCCCACGAATTATTTTTTTTTTCCTTCTTAGGAGATCTAGCTATTTAGAGAGGCATAAAGATCGTCACATATTAAATAAGTTTCAGTTTTGTAAGCACATTAGTAACAGCCTTGGTTACTGGAGTCTTGTACTTGAGAAGAAACAGTTCCTCCTTGGTTGAGTTAACCAGGTCACACTTATGACCACAGGTGCCACTGAAGTGGCCGAGGTAGGCCACTGTGGGAGACACTTTGTGTGTTTCCTGGAGAGAACACTTGCCTGTCACAAACAAAACGAAATATGTAAATATTTAGGGAAGTGCACTAACAAAGAGGAATACTCATCAGTAGGCTGGTGTCTGTTGAAGGTTATGGATCAATATTAACAAATGCTAGTGTTTGTTGCAGGTTATGGATCAACTGACTTTTTTGGGTTATCCTAGGTTCTCTACACATATGCTGCTATGTATGATAATTCTATGTAACTGTATTTGTGTATACCTGAATAAACTTACTTAAACACTGAATAAGTGCTGGTAGTTTGTTGCAGGTTATGGATCAACAGTGAAGTGCTTGTGTTTGTTAAAAGATATGGATCAATACTGAACAAATTCTAGTGTTTATTGAAGGTTATGGATCAGCACTGAACAAGAGCTAGTATTTGTTGAAGGGTGTGGATGGTCAAGTTATGTACACGAGAAATAGGGAAATCAGTGCTTCGAGAGTACAAAATATACAACAAATCCCATGAATGAAATAAATGCTATTCCTTCATGCAATCATTTTTGAATGTCGTATCTGATTAGCTTCAGTCCTTCGAAGTTGATAATAATGCAAAATTTGAGTGGATTCAAGCTTTATGACCTTGTGTAATTTAGGATGTTGGTCGGTCCGGTCTCAATGAAAGGTTTGAATTAGATTTGGGTTGTGTTATATCCTAATTTACCAGAAATTTGAATATTAGTTTTCATTTGTGACTTGTGAATGCCTCTTCTGATTCGTTTTAAATATTCAGAACTGTTATTTAATTGAATTGTCAACTTATGCCGCACTCTACACTATTCCAATCACATGCATTGAGACACAGGGGACGGGAGTTGTGTAATACGGAGATACCTTTACGGGATCGCTCAGTGACCGAAATACATCTAGTCTAACTCCGGCTCACACAAGCACAGGTTAACAATGTTATTGATCTAGTCTGTGGTGCACACAAGCACAGGTTAACAATGTTATTGATCTAGTCTGTGGTGCACACAAGCACAGGTTAACAATGTTGATTGATCTAGTCTGTGGCACACACAAACACAGGTTTACAATGATGTACGATCTTGCCTGTCACTCGAGTCGTACACAAAAACTGGTTGACAGTACTGTCCGAGCTTACCTGTGGTGCACAAAATAGCACTGTGCGAGAAGACTCCCCTGACGGTGTCCATGTCGTAGAGAGACTTGAACCTGCCCGGGAAGTCTCTCAGTGTATCAGCAGAGAGAATGGTGTGCCTTAGGGCCCACAGGTACCCCGGCAGCTTCTGTGCTTCTTCAGCCTTAGACACGAGGTCATTGGAGAAGAACTTCCACTTTAGTCTGTATCCGATTGGCTTTCCTTTCTTTTTAGGTGTTCTGGAAGTACATGGAGATACCTCGGTGACAACCACTGATGAATTATTTTTTAGTCTGGAAAAAAATTAATGTAAAATATATGTACACAGTCGAAAACAAATACAAAATATGAGGTTAGGTTAAGGCCAGATTTAGTCATGACTTTGAGCCTAGGCGAAGAGTTACCCAATTTTATTATTATTATTACTATTATTATTGTTGTTTTATTAGTATTACTTCCACTACTACTTTTACTACTTCTGTTTTGTTGTTACATTTTTCACTTAAAACAGGTTTAGCATATTTTGGTTGAACACAGTACCAGTAAGTTGATAAATAAGACATTTGCAACCCTTGAGAATCTTAACTGAAGAAATGTTTCAAATACACAACCAGCTTCTTGAGTCGAATACAGGGAAATACAACACTGAAAGTAGTAGTTCTGACGTGACCAGTCCGTCACCCTCGGTGGGAGGTGGTCAGTCCCTGAAGCCTGAGGGACTGAGGTTTGAGGGACTGACTACCTCCCACTGAGGGTGACGGACGATCACGTCAAAACGACTGCTATTGATTCCAGCGCTGCATTCACTTGTTTTCGACTGAAGAAGTTTGTTGCACAGGCGGAAAGTTTGGGCAGTGAGTATACCCACATGTTGCAGATGTGTTTTATTCATTTTAAACTTTTATTTTTTCTAATTTCTTATCTTCACTTATAGCTGGGTTGGTAGCGTACTCAGATCACACACTGAGGTCAGGGGTTCGATCCTCGGTATGGGATGGAAACATTAGGACGTGTTTCCATAAGACACCTGCTGTCCATGTTCACCCATCAATAAATTAGGTACCTACTGTTAGTCGACTGGCGTGGATTGCATCCTGGGGACAAAATTTACCTAATTTGCCCGAAATGCTCAGCATAACAAGTGGCTTTCTATATAGTATGTCATTGATGTCAGCTAGGACTGTATACCTTGTACATGTACTTGTAGAAATAAAGATATTATTAACATGCTAAACCGGGTAGTGGAAATATTCTCAAGCATAATGAAGTTCAAAATTATTATACTGCAAGAAAATCACTCCAAACAAGGCAAAAAAATATTCCCGTCAAAAGAGATCTGAATAAGGATCACCTGAGCTATATGGATATTTAGTTAGGTAAGACCTTGTACCATTAACAACTTACTCAGAAACGTATGCCAACCTTAGCTATTTCGTCAACGCTCATAATATCCATTAAGAAAGCCATTGGAAGATTATCTTCTTGCTTAAATTTTATTAAGAAATCAGATTGTTACAGCAAACAAAAAATATGTTGAAACGAATTTATCTCTATATATTATATATATTTATAAATTTTATTAATAAAAGTAGTGTAAGCAT